TGAGAGCAGTTCCTTATTCTGTTCACATACTGACTTGAGCGTCGGAGGCTCTACGCCGGAAACCCCTCCGGCGTTGAGTTCTTGCAGGTGTCCCCGCGGTCCGATAGCAGTTTGGAAGCCGTCAAGTCGGATCTGAGTTCACCCTCATCGGTTCGCTCCAGATCTGAGCCCATTCTCATCAGATCGCCCCGGATCTGGAAAGAGACCCATCAGTAGCTATTGAAAGAAATAAGAATGATTCTTGATATTGGATCCAACATATTAGTAGGTCACGATCAAGTCAAATTATAATAAGTAGTAGCCAACCATGATTGACATTCTTATAATTAAGTGTACATTTTGTAGTGAAATGTACACATTTGACCATTAAATAAGAGCAGTCTGGTAATCAACTAATTAAACACTCATTCATCGTGGTGGGCCCCACCACCACCTACCAAACTTCCTTCTTTCTCACATACACATACATTTTGTAGTGAAATGTACACATTTGACCATTAAATAAGAGCAGTCTGGTAATCAACTAATTAAACACTCATTCATCGTGGTGGGCCCCACCACCACCTACCCAACTTCCTTCTTTCTCACATACACATACATGTTACACGTTGTCCACCAACAACACCTTCATTTGCAGACAACCAATCGTCGCCTGATGCTGAGTGCCGCCACCAGCTACAACCCGCCGCCACCTGCAGCAGAATGATGTCGTCCGCCGCTGCCCCTCGCACCATCTCGCACGACGACCATCCCACCGGCACACAGATCGGTTTCTCACTGACATCGTCGTCGACAGCGTCTCCTCCGCCTGTAAGCTTCGACGACGTCTCGGCGGACGTCAAAGTTGATAACCGCCGCCAAGTAAAAACTGGTCGACGGACGGCGAAGATTCTGGTGGCGCTCGACGGATGAAAAAAAAAAAGAAAAAAAGACCAGCTCGATGATGCCGCTCGAAGGTGCCGACGTTCTTCCATGTTCATCCACAAAAGCTTGATGAATTACATAGATTTGAATTTTGGGAGCTTGTTTCTTAAAATTGGATAAGTCCTAGGGACTTTTCTACAAATTAAGAAAACTTCAATATATTATAATTCAGTCCAAGGGCCCAATTTGTAGTTTATTAAAAATATAAAAATTTATGATAAATATATTAAATGCACAATAATGATAGAAAAAGTGCACAATAATGTATGAGAAATGCACATTAAAAAATTTATTTTATTAGAACTTTTGTCCCAAATCAAGTTGAAAATGAACATAATTAATTGGTTTAGTTAGCTTAGTTAACCAAATATCCTAAATAATGTCGCTGGTTCGATCTCAATCTCAGGACGTGCATTTATTAAAATTATTTAATTTAGGAATAATATTATTTATTATTTTTATATTAATTTTGTAATCGGATAACCGCGATAAAGTGCAGCATGTTGTTTTTTAAAGTGCAGTGCGTTGTCTTATAAAGTGCAACGTGTTGATATATAAAGTAAACTATTGTACTTTTTGTATGTTAGCATGCTTGTGTTTTGTATGGATAAATGATGTGATTAATGTTAGAATATTATTTATATCCGTTTTTTAGATTTATGCTGTGTTGTATTTTGGCGGGAGCAGAGGGCGTTAGTTGTTGAGTGCGTTGATAAAGTGTCACATGGTATTTTATAAAGTGCAACATATTGTTTTATAAAGTGCAACGTGTTGATATAATTTTATAAAGTGCAGCGTGTTGATATATAAAGTGCACTACTTTATATAATCATACAAAAATTATGTACTTTTGAAACTAGATTTAGTAGATATAATTGTACATCGAATTAACCTAAATAGTTTAAATAATTTATTCTTTATTATGAAAAAATTATATGTATTATTTTAATAACTTTTATATTATATAAAAGGATTTGTTATTTATTATTATAAAAAGTATAATTTATTATTGATAATTATAATATTTTCATATAAAAATAATTTATTATTTATTATTGACAAGTATAATATATTATTTATCATTATAATTTTTTATATATTTATAATATAAAAAATATAAAAAAATAATACTTCACTTAATATTTTTATTTATTATTTTTAATAATTTTATATAATCTTAAAAAATACAGAATATTAAAGATATATAAAAAAATAATATTTTATCAAATATATTATATTTATCTTTTCTTGCAATATGTACACTGCAGTTATGTAATAATAAAATATAGATTATTTGCATTTTTCTAAAATTACATATTTGGCGCCATAATAAAAATCCTTAAAATTGCAATCAAGTCCATGACGGCCACAGTTGCTATCAGAAATAGAGGCGCATACTCGGAGGTATGCGGCGGCGGCCGGTGGCGGAGTTCCATGACGGCCAGTGGCGGCGTTTCGAGGCGGCAATCGAGAGGCAGATCTGTGTTGGAGTTAGACTTGTCTAACAACAGCCTTACTAAAAAAAATGAAGAATTAGCAGTAAAATTAATTAAACATGCAAATGCGAAAATACTTGAGTTAGATTTTGTAGAAGTGCGCTCAAAAGAAAAAAGAACACAAAGAAAAATTAGAATAAATTTAGATCACTAGATACATCATATCAATGGTCATGATTAAGTCAAACTTTAATAAATAATTAACAATAATTAATGGTAATATAGTAAATAAGC